CCAATCCTCGTGAGCGGATTGGCGATCATTGCAGACCCCAAGGGAAAGAACCAAATCAAATATTACGAAATGATGATTACGAAATATAGGTTGGTTTGTATGAGTACTCCGTAGGACCGGAGGGGCGGTAAAGCCTTGATCCGCTCGTTGACCAAGGACTGCTGCCGGTACAGAATTCACATTTGCCGTCGAAAGAATGGCGAGGCAAGGACATGCCCGTGAACATTATTCGTTTCTCCTCGGTCGTGATTTTCCTCCTCTTTGTCGTAATTTTTTCCCCGATAGATTTTGCCTTTCGATATAACTAAGGCCGAATGTGAGTGATGGGCCGAGTCGACGGATGCGTCTTAGGCCTCAACGAATGAAGAAGAAGGAAATAAAGGGGGAACCACTTCGCGTCTCGCCGTCTCGCCGCTTTCCCGACCGTCCGTTCTGTTCGTTCTTTTTTCTCGGTTTATTTCTGCCAAGACTTATGGAAGCCAGCGAAGAAGCACGTTAGAACATTTTTTAGTCGATAAAGTACCAATGTATTATGGAGAATTTAGCCCAGAATAGGTAAGATGCAAACGGACACCGTGAACCAACTTGACAAAGCAACATACGTCCTGATCTTGAACAACACGGGAAGGCGGTCAGCGTCGTTCGGGGTGGCGAAAGGTAAAGATCTGTTTTCTATTTCGACGAACTGCCGGTGGCGTCTCGTTGTTAGATTTTGTCGAGAGGCTACCCCTTCCCATTTCTGGATACGCGGCCATTTGAAGCTTCTTTTTCGACAGAGCATTTTATGTGGAATCTCCCATATGTCATGCAGCACGCCGAGTCAAGACAAGTAAAAGGGAAACTAGACAGCAGTATAGCTTAGCTGCAGCGCAGATTCAACCTGACTTTTCACTAGAGAAAGGGGAGAGGCCGGTAAACAGCAGCTTGCATCACCAAACGGCCGTGCAAAAAAGAGGTTCAGCAAGGTAAAAGGCGCAATACCACAGCATCTCCAGTAAATCAGGGGGACGCAACAAACGGCACAAGCGCCCCACCTGAGGCGATATGCAGCCCTGGGCAGTTTGCCCGTGAGTGCCGCGTCTTTCCTCGGCCGCGAACGTGTGGAAATCTAGCGTTTATCGACCGGCGGTAAGAAGAGCCTAACGAGCCTAGCTGTAGACCCTGGGCCAGACCCTAAATTTTGACACCGACTCCTCTAGGGGGTTTCCGGGTTCCGGCACAGGTTACAAAGGCGCTGCAAGAAGGAAAAATGGCAATTATTATGGGCTGCGATAAACTTGCCTCGCGCTTTCCAGTCCTGGGCGGCACAACATTCATTTGCGGCGACACCGAGCCCGCTATTTTGTTCCATTTTGCCGCCTGTGTGCTTCTTTCCCTTTGTAAAAATCCGGCCATTGACCGCTTTTTCCCTTTCTAGGACTTTGCTTTGCACACTTTGAATTGCCATTTCTGGAAAGGGCCAGTCAATTAAATCGCCCACGGAAGTCGGAGACTAACAGTAAGGGCGAGCGACTACCGGGTACAAATAGCTTGATGTACTATCTTAAGATACAACAAGAAGGGAGACATGCTGGCACCCAATCTGCCAGTCCTGTCATCGTCCCCGACAGATGAGTAGCGAATATATTTCGTATTAGTCTGCTAGACAATGCTGTCAGCTACGTCTTGGAGTAAGAACAGAGCCGTTTGTCAGAGACAAGCAGCGCCAGTGCTGGACAACATCGTCCATGCAACCCCCGTATAAGCCGCTTGCCTTGCCTCACTCGCTTACACGTGGTTGATACGACTCCGCGTTGCCTTGTTGTTCGAGTCAGTACGCCCAGTGTACCTTGGGTGTGTAGGTGTGAGCAAACGAATCACGGCCTGTGCACTTTCTGTCCATCTCACAGTGATTCTTTGGCCGCCTCTCCTTTCTGTCATGTCGCCGTGGGACGATGCGCCTTTCCTACGACGAATGCCAGCTTGACCAAGGTTTGGGAAAAGACGGATCAGCAGCACAAAGTAGCTTCCAGCTTGACTTATTCGTATGTGGCAGGCGCCAGACTGGTTTCGAGCAAAGCACTGGGCCCGGGTACGTCGGATGGCTGCATTTTGACATCGGCTGGGGCCCACTGTCAAAAACTGGCGGAGGAGAAATGAGGACATACTCCGTAGGAAAATATTAGTGGAGATGTCTGGCGAGGGAAAAGCTTTTTTTTTTTTGCGGCTCGCCCCCTGTACGACTTAATGGGTCCAACCATTTTCCCTCACCGTATTGAGGCGATTAGCGGCTGAGGCCCATGACGTATCTCCACCAGGGGAGGAAAGCCGATGTCCACTTGCCGCAACCGGACAGTGTACTGTGTAGTGCTTGCGAAGGCCAGCAGCGGCAACAGCGATGGGAAAGGCCTTCATTCTACGTATTACCATTTTTGCTGTTGTTTATTCCAAGGGCGCGCTCCTACCCCAGCCACCCCGATGGTACCCCTGGTAAACGAGCTGCTGCACATCATTCTTTGCTCGATAAAATGAACAATATATGGGTATGCTCCGTAAAATACTGGGGCACGGTATTGACAGAATAGACGTCGGTGGGCGAATTGTTGATTTGTCTGGACGGTCTGGGGGAAGAGGTCGAATGTCTTCAGCCTTCCGCTTGTCTCTTAAAAAAAAGGAAATAACAAAAAAAGACTCACACAACGTCTGCCATTGACCAACGAACGGCCGCCGCGGGCTTCTCCTGGCTTCCATCTTCTCCAACGGCAGCAATCCCGAGGGAATTCTGGGGCCTCGCTTCGTCCCTGCTCCATTCATCCAACCCTCCATGTTCTTCTAGACACGGCTGGCCCTGGGCCTTCCCGGCGAGCTGCCTGGCCTCGTGCTTTCTTTTTCCTGTTTGAGAAGGTGAGCAAATGCAAGCCGTGGCCAATCACCGTCATCGACTGTGTTGCTTGTCTCGTGGATCTGTTGGACAGCATCGTTCGATCACGAGTGACCACAATGTGCACTCGCTCGCTGTATAATCTAATATCAAGTAGAATACAGGGTAAACCACAGATTAATGACATCAATTAATCAATATTTGAACAATATTTGTACAGACAGTTGCGGGTTTCCCCGGGTGATCTTATATTAAAGCTGTGGTTTTTGTGTTGTTTTTCAGATAATATTTTCTCTTCAAAATGACGTCGAAATTAATATATTAAAAACAAAATACAGCACAAAAAAAGAAAAAGAAAACAAACAGCAATTCCACGGAGAACACCTCACTCGACATCCAGCCCGGTCCATTGTCGTCGACGAGTTATTTATCACTGCTCCCGGTCTGATGGAGACACATACAACGCCGTACTCGCCACAGCCCGCAAACGCCCGCCACCCCAAAAAGGACATTGACCACATGACACGGGTCTGGGGAAGGAGCGGGAGGGGAAACGTAAAAATGTAAGAACCAAAGTGTTCACCGACGCCCGGCGAGCCTTTTTTTTGTAAATCGACGTTTTGTCATTTGTCGTTTTGTCCATAAAGCGGTGAGGGTGGTCGGGCAGTCGTGAAAAGAATGTTGGCGTCTTCGCGTTGTCCGCCAACTACGAGTCCATAATGCCTCATTATGATGGCTACCAAACTTCACGTTGCGCGTCGTACATCTAGGGTCGTCTTCGGATGCCGGAATCGGAAAGGAAGGAGGCTGGGCGGCCAGCGAAACGGCCCGGCAGTGACGAATCGACCGTCGATGGACGAGGCCAGTGTAGGAGCCAAAGGGCTCTGAAGGCGAAGGTTGTACGTGAGCAAACGGCCAATCACTGGAGGCCCAGAAGACCCCATTCCAGCAAGAGTGGTGTTCCGCGGAGTTTCGAGGACGATCTGCAGACGGGTGAGAATACATGGTCAAGAAAACATACGGACCAGAGTCACAAGAGGAAAAAAAAGCGGCACTGTGGGTTGGCAACATCAACAACTGTTCTCGTCTTCGCGCTGTCAAGCGGGAAGCTGCAGGGACGACGGGTTCCAGCGGCCCTCAACGATTCACTACTGCAACCTAGTTTTCACTGGCCTCGCTAGCTGGAGACGGCTTAATCTGTACGACGTATTGTTCCTCCCCAGTAATGCGGGACAGGCCACCTTGAACCCTGCAACAGGATGGGACAGACGGCTGCAAAGATGCTCATGCTCTTTTGCCTATCTTGCAACAAATCGACTTCGAGACGAGAGACGTATACTGAGTACAATAGTAAGATACAGTGCGGGCTGCCCCCAGCAACGCACGGCCTCACTCCCGGATCGTTTTGGCCAAGACTTTGAGAGTTGGCAGACTGTGCATCGCACTTTACGATGTAATACGATGCGCAGATGTGTTCTTGGCAGGTCTTGGAGGATGTGGCACGTCGCAGACAGAAAGCAAAGGGCCAGACAGCGCCTCTTTTAAAGAACACGGGCGAGGCGAGCGCAAACAAGACCGAATGCATCAAAGAGAAAATGAAAACGAAAACAGCCAAATAGGAATAAAAGTGAACAGAACTAGCTCCTACACGATGCCAGGCCAAGAAGTCTTGGTAGAGAGTAGCAGCCCATGGTGGGCCAGTCAAAGTTCGTTATCCGTGCATGTTACAATATGGGCGATGAGGACTGGGAACCATGAACAGTGAGAGGATGAAAGCAAAAGACTGAGAGATCAGAGCAAAAAAGTGACAGTGTGAGAAGACAGTCAAAGCAACAAAAAGTGGAGAAAAAGAAGGGGGGGTTGGAGAGCACCTTCGCTCCCGGCCGACTTAACATGGAGGAGGGTGGAAATAAACAGGATGTGTTAGACAAAGAAGGAAAGAGAGCTACACAGCGAATCACAACAGTCGATTGGAAGGATTTGGCTGGTGGTGTTTCCCTGTTTCTCGTCGCTGTTGCCGATTTCCCATGGGGACCTGGGGGCCTTGGGCCTCGTACTGAGTATGGAGGTTATTCCTGCCAATTTCTGGCAATGGTCCGAGGGCGACTTTCTCGCAATACGACCACATGGAGTATGCACGATGGCTGCGATCTGTCACTCTCTCTCGCGACGTCGTGTACCGCCTGCGGGCGCGATCGCCTACGAGACACGAGAGATGGAGTGGGGATTACGAATTGGGCGAAGCAGTCTCACGACCACTGCATTGCCCAGAGACGAAGACGTAGACAGCGTCGAAGACGAGGCCATCGTAGCACTGGTAAGAAACAGGGAAAGTACGAATTACCACGACGGAGAGCGTTGAAAGTGAGCCGACAAAGAGGAAAAAATGGCCACGGAAATCGGCCAAACCAGGTACTAGAAACGTGCAGCAGCACGGCAGCGCCGAAGGTTCCGATTTACAGCCAATGACTACTCTCTGGTTCCTGCCAATAATGTCTGCCAATGGTTCCCGCCAATTAGCTGTCTGAAATGTTGTGCTTGTCAATTGCTGCGCCCCGTAAATCGTAAAGAGACTGGAATTGCTGGACGAGACGACTCTGGCAGCACTTGCCCTCGTACTGTCCACTACGCCATTGGGCGCAACCACTACGATCTTTCACTGACGCAATTGGAATTGCGTGGGCATAAAATTACAGCGATGTCTGGCCGGATCAGGAAAGCGCCGCCCAGGCGCGCGAGTGCTGGTGAATCGGGCTTGGACGGGCTTGGACTTCTTAGGCGGTCGGGGACAACGGCAGCCTGTATTCTTCGTCGCCCATCAATTCTCTGATGGCGATACATACTTGCACACCTGCATCGCCATCGAGCAACATGCATACATCTCTTGCACATTCTCGTCCGGTACAGTTCGGTGATTGCTGGCTTTGATTTCCAGTGTCAATTCATGCCCGTGTCGTTCCTTCTCCATCTACATCGAAGCACAGTTTCTCGGCCTGTCCAGAGGCAGGAGCGACGGGGACAGTGGCCGAAGCCGATAACAGCAGTGGCCCATTAAAAAAAACTCGAAACAAGACACATAAATAAGGGCATAATAATCCAATCATAAATCCCGCAACTGAGCGACTGCAAATTGTGAGAGAAACGAGCGAGAGGACCAGAGCACAAAATGGGAACAGTACGAGGGTGGACCTGCGCTACCAAGTACCTGACTGATGCGAGATGAGGTCGTCTGGGGGAGAATGTGGGTGGGGCAGGTACACGGAGGCTAGTTGAGATTAATGTAACTAACTCGTGCCGGCGAGCCATCCTTTTTTGTTATGGTTCTCAGTTTTGGCTGCCGGGTACGACGTAGCTTGGGAGGAACAGCGCAACAGTGCGAATCTCGAGGCTACCGCACATGCTGTATCCACGAGGGCCCATCCTGTTACTCTTGTTAATCCTGGCGCACTCGCGAACCGCGTGAGAAAAACGGCACGATACAAAAGAAGAAAAATCAAAACAAAACAAAACAAAGCTCGGAAAGACCAACACTGTGAGTGCGCACTTTGTAATAACCTGTGCGACAACAAATACAGGCCTGAATGTAGCCAACGTCCTGTAAGAAAAGTTATGCGACACACAGCGTGAAGACAGAGCGCTATGAGCTTGCGGACCAGATACGAGATCCAATGAAATGGACGCGTCTGCTGACAATTCTGCGCCGCGGCGCGCGGAGACAGCCAAACGTGCTTTATTTGCATGCAACTCCACCAATGCCGGCCACTCCTGCCCGGGCGGCGGAGGTCGTACTGAAAGTTGCACCGGTCTTGATTATACAGGCGCATGTGTGCGAGCGATGCTCACAGGATTACGAGGCGCCGCTTTCACAGTGTATTTCGATTGCAGTTGCGCTTACCCTCCGCTGTTCCTGGCCTGTGATCTCTTTCCGTTCATGCTCCGTCACCCGGCCATATCAGACGTTTCAGCGCCGTTCACCCTTCTTGTTCCGGCGAATGCACAAAAGCGTTGTTCTCAAAAGCCCTCCCGTAAGTTTGGCCAAGCCACCGCGGTGTGTATTTTTGTTGCCTTTTCCGTTTAAAACAGATGGCAAAAGAGAGGTTTCCTGCGCACCCCGTATCTCAAGCGGCACTGACACACAAACCAGTGGGAACCAACACATGTCAAGCCTAATCGAGTTAGTCCTCGTGCGTGTTGTCACAGTTGGGATCGAGTACAGTTGAACACAGAGCATACCTCTGCGGCAATGAAAGTACAGTGCCGTGTTCCGCCCTTGGTGCTAAAAGAGTGCCGTTTAGGCCCTTCCCGTATTTTGGGACAAAGAAAAAGAATACATCGTATGAGAGGCGATGCGACGCAGCCGAGTGAGCCCGCCCCAACACTGCGAACTGAGGCGCTTCCCACGAATAGCTTGCTCTCTCCCGTGTCCGTGACATTCGCGACGATCGCCCGTCCTGTTGTGATGAGTGAGCCAGGTCGGTGCACATGGCCTGGCCCAGCCCAAAACCAATCGCGCCTTTTGCCGCAGTCACAGCACGCATTTCTTGGGCGTAGATCTCCCACATTTGGCTACTTGTTGTGGCCTGTTGTGTGTATTATTATGCCCCAGAGGAGGGCAGACTACTGTTAGTATGCTCGTAGACTGATTTGTAGAATGCCAGATGGCTCAACAAGGACTGTCAAAACAAATGCCAATGCCAGAGAGAGTTGCTTTTCTTTTCTTTTTCTCTCGTCGCTGTCCCTCTTCCTTTTAAAACCAGCCTCCTTCCTCTCGTTCTTCTTTGCTCTTTCTTTCAACAACGGCGAACGACATCGACTCGACTTCGACTAATTTGGTGTTCGTGAGGTGCGACATTTCCCTCTTTCCCCCTACGGTCTCCCCCCAACTTTCTTTTGTTCTGTTATTCCCCCTTACTATCTGCTTTCGCTTTTCCTTCGGTTTCAACTTTAATACCTTCCGACTCCCGGTTTCCCCGGTTCGATACACGCGGTTTCATACGATAATAAGCTTTTACTGGTAGGTGGATATGCAGCGTTTATTTTCGGAGGTTGCTCCTGGACGCAGGGCGGCCGACGACAGAGAAGCAATCGGAGAGGGCCGGTTGAACGAGGCAGGCCCGCGCCTCCATGCAGCAGCGACAGCACCAGCACCAGCACTTGCCCTGTCCGTCCACTTTGGCTGCAAGTGAGCCAGTTCGCACGATCGCCTGCGCTCGGTTCCCCAGCATCTCCTCCGTGTGGCCTCAGCGCCTGTCGAGACTCACTTTTCGAACGGGCAGGCGCTCGCACAACCAGGAACCATATCATACAGTCATCCACCAACAGGACAAAACCATCAAGTGATCAAAACACGGCCCAAACCACATAATCACTGGTTGCAAAGCACCCATGGCGCCCAAATACAGCGTCAACAAAGCACGCATTCCTCCATCCTCCGGCGCTTCCAGCGCTGTTTCCCACATATCGGAACGTCCCAATTTCGCCTGTACCCACTGGTGCTTATTAGCTCATCAAAACATACCTCCATTTTTGGCTCTTTTCTCTCTTTGCAGTGGTCCTCTTGTCCCAGCTCCAGTGGGCTCCACTTGCTGTATCTTACACTGCACGCCTTTTTACCCCCGCGTTCTTCCGGGCCTAGTGAGCCAGCCGCAAAAAAAAATAAAAAATAAAAAAATAAAAGCCCCAAAAAACCAGAATGGCCCCGAAAAGAATAGCGACCGAAAAAGGGCCAGCGCTGTCACCCCCAAAAAACACTCACGCCCATTACGACGCACTGTTCCCAGCACTGTGTGCCTCACACACCCCCGTCCATCGTCCCTTCCCTGTATCCATGTCCCCCCAAGGCCCGTGGCCCCATGTTCCTACTTCCCTGTCCTGCCAGCCTGCTCACCTTTCGCCATTCCGACATTTCGCCTTCGCCTTTTCTCTCTTCTCGTCTCTTCGTCTCTGTCGATGAGCTAGCAGTGCTAGGTTTTCCTCTCACCCCCCACACAGTAGCACTACGACTCGGAGCGCGAGCTCAGAAATAACGCGCGCCGCGGTCGTTTCCACTCGTTTTCTCTTTTTCTCTTTTTCTCTAGCCTTATTATATATCCTTTACCCAGACTTTCATTTCTTCGTCTCTTTCCCTTCACCTCTCTCTCTCTTCTTCTTTTTCTCTTCCCTTTTCTTTTCTTCTTCCCACACATCCCCCCACCCCTGTTTGCGTTCTCCCATCTCTCGCGCAAAAAAGCTTCATCCCGCTTCTGGGATTCCCTCCCCCTTCCCCCTTTCCCCCTTTTTTAAGCCGTGGCTTGTCCTTGAGCTGCAAGACGGACGCGTCGTATTTTCGAAGCCTCCAGTTTTCTCACAATATCTCTATCACCGTATAGACAGCTCAACACCACACCCTTTTTTCTCTCCCACAACCCACCATCAACAATGGCGGAGTCAACATCTGCGGCGCCCGCGCTGCACACCGACATCCCCGGCGGTAACTTTGACGAGAAGGCCGGTGCCGGCGAGGCCGCCCCTGCCGCTGCCGCTCCCCCGGTCAAGCCCAAGGTCGAGGAGGAGGAGGAAGATGAGGACATCGATGCCCTGATTGAGGACCTCGAGTCCCACGACGGCCACGGCGCCGACGAAGATGACGAGGAGGAGGAGTCCAACGTCCACGGTGGTCGCGTCATCCCCGAGGACATGCTCCAGACCGACACCCGCATTGGTCTGACGGACCACGAGGTTGTTGCTCGCCGTCGCAAGTAAGTTGCAGCCGCTGGAATTGCACAGAACCAACATCTCGGTTTCGCACTACGTCTTGCAAGACCCGAGTTACTGACATTCCCCTTTCAGGTACGGTCTGAACCAGATGAAGGAGGAGAAGGAGAACCTGATTCTCAAGTTCTTGGGCTACTTTGTTGGTCCTATCCAGTTCGTCATGGAGGTACGTTTTTTGTTTTTGTTTTTGGTGACGACAACGCTTCGTTTGTGCCATCAAATGTCCCTTTTTCATTTTTGCATTTTGTTTTGTTATTAGCCTTCTGGGTTTGTTTTGGTTGCCGATTTTCTGCACGGTCGCATTTTTTGGGCTATCTCCAAAAATCGCGCACTACGAAAAACGGGTTTTAGCTACTCCGATTGGGGCAGCTGCATGCGCCTGCATGGCGTTGCAGCCAGTGGGAGTCCGCCAATTCCTGTTTTGCCCCCGCCTTTGCTTGGAGCTCCCCCATGTCGCTGATTGCCCTGTCCCGTGTTTGAAAGCTTGCTTATCCACTTGCTTTCCGACGCAAGGGAGGAGTGTGGGTGTTTCGACGGCTTGGGATGTTTCCAGCGGCAAAACATGTTTTGTCGATCCAAACGCAAATCCCCATCCACATGGCATATCACCGGCATCACCGGCATCTCATCAACGTCCAAAGGCGAAATGCTGACAATATTCGCTTTTCCTAGGCTGCCGCTGTCCTGGCTGCCGGTCTTGAGGACTGGGTCGATTTCGGTGTCATTATTGCCCTGCTGCTGCTCAACGCTGCTGTCGGTTTCGTTCAGGAGTTCCAGGCCGGTTCCATTGTCGACGAGCTCAAGAAGACCCTGGCCCTGAAGGCTGTTGTCCTCCGTGACGGCACCCTGAAGGAGATTGAGGCCCCCGAGGTCGTTCCCGGTGATATTCTCCAGGTTGAGGAGGGCACCATCATTCCCGCCGACGGTCGCATCGTTACCGAAGATGCTTTCCTGCAGGTTGATCAATCCGCCATCACTGGCGAGTCTCTCGCTGTCGACAAACACAAGAGCGACCAGTGCTACGCTTCGTCCGCCGTCAAGCGTGGTGAGGCCTTTGTCGTCGTTACTGCCACTGGTGACAACACCTTTGTCGGTCGCGCTGCCGCCCTCGTCAACGCCGCCTCGTCCGGCACCGGTCACTTCACGGAGGTGCTCAACGGCATCGGTACCGTTCTGCTGGTTCTGGTTATCTTCACCAACCTGATCGTCTGGGTCTCGTCGTTCTACCGCTCCAACCCCATTGTCACGATTCTCGAGTACACCCTGGCCATCACCATCATTGGTGTCCCCGTCGGTCTGCCCGCTGTCGTCACCACCACTATGGCTGTCGGTGCTGCCTACCTTGCTCGCAAGAAGGCCATCGTCCAGAAGCTGTCCGCCATCGAGTCCCTGGCTGGTGTCGAGATTCTGTGCTCTGACAAGACCGGTACCCTGACCAAGAACAAGCTCTCCCTGTCTGAGCCCTACACCGTCGCCGGTGTCGAGCCTGAGGACCTGATGCTCACTGCCTGCCTGGCTGCCTCGCGCAAGAAGAAGGGTATTGATGCCATTGACAAGGCTTTCCTCAAGTCCCTGCGCTACTACCCCCGTGCCAAGAGCGTTCTGTCCAAGTACAAGGTTATCAACTTCTTCCCCTTCGACCCCGTCAGCAAGAAGGTTACCGCCATTGTCGAGTCCCCCCAGGGCGAGCGCATCACCTGCGTGAAGGGTGCTCCTCTGTTCGTCCTCAAGACCGTCGAGGAGGACCACCCCATCCCCGAGGAGGTCGACCAGGCCTACAAGAACAAGGTCGCTGAGTTTGCTACCCGTGGTTTCCGTTCGCTCGGTGTTGCCCGCAAGCGTGGTGAGGGCGCCTGGGAGATCCTCGGTATTATGCCCTGCTCTGACCCCCCGCGTCACGATACCGCCCGCACCATCAACGAGGCCAAGTCCCTGGGTCTGTCCATCAAGATGCTGACTGGTGATGCCGTCGGCATTGCCCGCGAGACGTCCCGCCAGCTGGGTCTTGGTACCAACGTCTACAACGCTGAGCGCCTGGGTCTGGGCGGCGGCGGTGACATGCCCGGCTCTGAGGTTTACGATTTCGTCGAGGCTGCCGATGGTTTCGCCGAGGTGTTCCCCCAGCACAAGTACAACGTCGTCGAGATCCTGCAGCAGCGTGGCTACCTCGTTGCCATGACTGGTGACGGTGTCAACGATGCGCCCTCGCTGAAGAAGGCCGATACCGGTATTGCTGTCGAGGGTGCCTCTGACGCCGCCCGCTCTGCTGCCGACATTGTTTTCCTTGCCCCCGGTCTTGGTGCCATTATCGATGCTCTCAAGACTTCCCGCCAGATTTTCCACCGCATGTACGCCTACGTTGTCTACCGTATCGCCCTGTCCATCCACCTGGAGATCTACCTTGGTCTGTGGATTGCCATCCTCAACCGTTCGCTGAACATTGAGCTGGTCGTCTTCATTGCCATCTTCGCTGATGTTGCCACCCTTGCTATTGCCTACGACAACGCGCCCTTCTCCAAGACCCCCGTCAAGTGGAACCTGCCCAAGCTCTGGGGTATGTCCGTCCTGCTTGGTGTCGTCCTGGCTGTCGGTACCTGGATCACGGTCACGACCATGTACGCGCACGGCCCCAACGGCGGTATTGTCCAGAACTTCGGTAACCTGGATGAGGTCGTCTTCCTTGAGGTCTCCCTGACGGAGAACTGGCTGATCTTCATCACTCGTGCCAACGGTCCCTTCTGGTCGTCGATCCCCTCGTGGCAGCTGACCGGCGCCATCCTGGTCGTCGACCTGCTGGCCACCTTCTTCACCCTGTTCGGTTTCTTCCAGCACGGCCAGCAGACCTCTATTGTCGCTGTTGTCCGTATCTGGATCTTCTCTTTCGGTGTCTTCTGCATCATGGGTGGTGTTTACTACCTGCTCCAGGACAGCGTTGGTTTCGACAACCTGATGCACGGCAAGAGCCCTAAGGGCAACCAGAAGCAGCGGTCGCTCGAGGACTTTGGTATGTCGTCTCTACCCGTTTTTCTTTTCCACTTTCGTTTCTGTTCCTTGACTAACATCGTTTCCCAGTCGTGTCTCTGCAGCGTGTCTCCACCCAGCACGAGAAGTCGCAGTAAACTGCTACGCCTTCCGTGCTGGTCTAAACCACCAACACCCTGGCGACCTCTACACCCGTTCATTTTTGTGTGGAGGTTATGGAGGCTTCCTATGTAATAAGGATCTTCATGCTTCTTTTGTGTGTCTTGACACTAACCCCTTCGATGGGGGGACGGCATTTGCGCGAGGCTGGTCTTCACTACACACATCCCTTCCTCGTCCCCTACGGTGGGAGAATATAAATAGAGAGGATCGGAGAGCAAGGCAGAGCCCCCTACGCAGGTTGCTTATTCCCTCTTTTCGCTGAGAGCCAGTCTCTAAACACGTCAAACGTTTTTTCTTTTCTTTGTGTTATACATTTTCTGATCTGAAGAGGGAAGAGATGAGGCCCATACCCCCTGACGAGACTCTTTTAGACGGGACTAATTAATAAAATCGTAAAATTGGATGACATTCACTGCGTGATGTGTTGAAATATGATTCGATTCTATGATTTTTGGTGGACGTTGTGTGTGTGTTAGGCACTGTAATGCGATGTGTGGATACGTGTTTCAGCGTGTGTTTTAGTGCTCTTGTATATGTCACGTGATGCAATAAACTACTGCTAAAGTCAACCAATATATTTTCTAATATGCCAGTGGCGTGCCAGCGGTTGGGTCTTTCTCGTTCTGTTGAAAATGGCACTTGCCTTTGGACGATGGACATGGAAGGTTAAAAACTATCTTCGCTCCGTCTTGGTTCGTGTTGGTTTCGAGACGTATTATTTCTTACATCGTCCAAGATATAGAACCAAATCCTCTGCAGAGTTCTGTTGCCGACCGTTCGATATGACTTGAAGTGGCTCTCGACGGCCAAGACGAGCAAGCGCCGCCTGCACTGCCGTCGATCACCATGCCGGCTCCCTTTGCATTTCCCGGTCACTATTGGGGTGAGTCTCGCCGATACCGAATTTTCAGTGTTTATGGCCGCTTGGCATCAAAGATTGCTGACACCGACCGGCTCAGATGAGGCCAGAGGCAAATTTTTCAAGATTGAGGCAACCGGCACAGCACCAGAGGGCGCCGCTTGGTCTCAGGAGCAGGTGCATTTTCAGCAGGCCCGGGAGAAGTACGTCGAGCAACGTCGCCGCCGGCATGAAGACAGCGAAGGACGCCTGCATGGACGCAGGGGGAAATGGTCCAAACGGCAAAAGGGTCGACGTATAGAAGAATCCAAGCGTGGCGAGTCGACACGCGAGTCGTTCACGCGGCAGACGCCAGATGCAATATACGATTTCCTTGCACGACACAGCACCGGTGATGACGAAGTCGACGATGCAGTGTATGTGGAAGAGAAGAAGCGTCTCTTTATCCGGGATCCTCTTTTTGCGCACGAGGCGGCCGTGACTGGCCTTCCTTACAGTGCTACGGCCAGCGACGGCCGCCCATTTGGTCAAACACATGCGACTACTGCAGCGTCCATCTTTGCTCGCGAGTTGCAGTTCAAGGGCGCCGTACCGGTTCTAAACGAGGCCAGTGGCATGTTGATTGAGGTTGATAATTTTAACCGCTTAACGCAACATGCGTGGGCAACTCTTGGAACCAACCCGGAGCGGAGAATGGCCCGGCCGTTCTCTGCGGCCATAGGTCAGCCTCCGGTCCTGGCTGCGACAAAAATCAGAGCGATGTATGTGCACGGCAACGAGCAACCTCCAGGCCTGGGCATTGTCTATACAGGTAAGTTTACAACAAAAAAAAGAATAAAAAAAGACGAATAAAAACAGCCCCTGGTGCGCTTCCGTGGTTGCGTTTCTGATATCACCACAGACTATTCCACTGGCAACAATAGCACGATCAAGGGACAATATGTCATGGTCGACGAGAACGAAAGGTGTGTTTTATATGTTGAACTGAACCGAAACCCAAGGTGCTTTTAGGTGTTGCTACTAAATGCTAATTTCTGATAGCGTTGTGAGTTCCTGGCCAACGCGGTTCCCGTTCGGTAGATATGCCGCGCATGAACGGACATGCCCCGAAGGCATACGGGCGACAGGTATAACGACTATTGGCTTCCACGAGGCCTCTCAAAACCTGATTGTCACCTCTTGTACCCCACATCTCCAGTGGGAAGCGCAGGCTCCTGTTCTGCAGTTTTTTAAGCCGGATATCAGAGACGAAACTTCGCTCTCCGACGATGTCACCTGGCAACTCGGCCCAGACGGCCTCCCCAGTGAGTCCAGACAACGCGCCGAGGCGGACCCTCGTACACGCCGACTTTATTGATCTCCACCATTCATTCTAACTGGGCTATTTTGTCTCGTAACTAGATATCATAACGCCGACACGTTCACTGCCGTTGAATACCAACAAACCAGTTTTCAAGATCTTTGGCAAGCGTACTGTCGATTCCGTGTACGCCTGTTCTCCGTCACCCCAAGGCCACGATGCACTGTGCCTGGTTGGGACAGGAGATGGCTTGCGCGCCATTGACATTGAGACCGTCACACGCCTTACCGACGTTAACGTGCGCTATTTTATACCTCATCCTACAAACCACAATGATCGGGTACATATACCGATAGACGGTGACGACATACGCTGCTTCCCGCCAAATGGGCTGTTCATGCATCGGCAAAGACTTCTGGGGACAGTCACTTCGAGCCAGAGGCGACCAGAACGAGTCCAACCAAGCCTAATCACCTGCGTGGACTTTGTCAACAACCACCCGCGCCTTGCCGTGGCTGGCGGTCGTAACCCGGTACCGTGGCTTGTGGACTTGCGTGAGCCGTCCTGGCGCCCATTTGGCACGAATGCCAATGCACTCGGCAATAGCCCGAATGCTGTCGCACACATCCGCTCCGTTGGCGAATACCACGTGGTTGCTGCTGGCCTGTGGAACGCCATGGTCATGTACGACTTGCGATATTTAAAGACGCCGAGAAGCAGCAGTGGCAGGACTTCACTTATTGACGGAAAGCGTGCCGGAAGTCCCGCTGCTGAGCCATTGTTCCGCTTCTCTGACTACTACAACCACGGCCGACTCATGGGCATTGGCTTCGACGTGGACACCGATCTGGGCATCGTTGCTGCCGCGGAAGATCACCAGTCGACGGCCGCGGGACTCCAAGGCGGGATGGGGCTCTTTTCCTTGTGGAATGGCGAGCGTCTCCACGCGCCAGGTCTCTGGCGAGTGCAACACCACCCAAGCGATATTGACCGCGTCTACAGGCCCACGCCGGACAATGTGAATCAACGGTTGAGTTTGGTGCAGAGTATTTCGATGGAGGAAACGGAGGAAGCGCGAGCGCCCTTTACAGTTGTGGGTGACAGCGACGTCCACCCTGATACCAGAGCCACATGGGGTGGCGACAAGCACACACGTCCGCACATTGCGGCGCTGCGCTTTTCTTCCCTGCCGCACGAAGGCACGAGTCTCTTTGTCGGTGTGGATGCCCGGGTTCAGAAGTACTCGATCCGCCGCGGTAGAGAGGACGTATTTTACGGCGAGGATGAAGAAGACAAGAGGACGACATGAATGGAAAACAAAAAACGTCGATCTGGGTCATTGTGTCTTTCTGCTTTTGTTTGGTTTCCATATAATCCATGTAGAGCATAGTTTTGCGCGGCGTATTCGGATTGTATGTATTGGTTTTTGACTTTGAGTTGGCATTTGAGAGCAACTACGTCTTGCAGGTGAAGCGGAATGATGCGATAGTTCGGTTGTGGGCTTCAACCGAGTTAGATACTGGAGGCAACGGCTGGGCAAAGGGCCGATTGATGGATAGACGACAATATAAATTTATAATGATACCGGGTTCCAAGAAGTGTAGTGATTTGTAAAACCAAGAATATTAAACAAGTCTATAGAGTTATAAAGAATACCTTTTCTATATATCACATCGCCGTACCCTTTGGCCAGCCATATCCGTTTGGTTTTCCGGTTCGAAGCTGGTGGTGCTTTTGAACGTCAGAACAAGTAAAAGTCTGTGATGAAATTTTCTTTCCTTTTCATAGTTTTCCCTCTCCTTTCCTTGGGCCCTCGAGACATTCGCAGTCTTTCGATTCCCTCTGCAAGCTGGCGGTATAAAACAAGAAACATAATAGCAAAAATGGCACAAATGCTCAAAAGTCGCTGACGCGCCTGGGATTTAACGCTGATATGGTTTTTGTTTGTGGAGGTTGGTTTGCAACACTCCGCCCGATGACTTTCTCTCCACTCATTTGCCTTGGGTATGCTGTCCTCATCATCTCTGTGTTTTTCTTCTCGTCTTCTCTTTCGGCACGATCGCCTACGTCTCTACGTAGGTGGATGTTGTTGGATGGCGACGAATAAGGAACGTAAAGGAGCAAAGACAGATTGGCGTCAATAAAGATAGATTTGTAGTGCGGCAAGTCAGGATGGGATTGTGCGCGTGGAAGAGACAGGGTGCGTGCGGCGTGCGGCGAGCGGCGTGCGGCCCTGGGTTGCTTAGTGCTTCGCAGTGACCTTCTCACCGGTCAGCTTCTCGACGTAGGTCTTCGCCATGTCACCCATGGCCACCATGCAAATGGTCTGCCAGATGCCGAGACCAATGCGCGGGGTCAGGCCACGATACAGGCCGCGGATGCCGTTGGTGTCGTAGATGTACTTGAAGGTGTTGCCGACGGTCATCTTCTTGGGGCGGTTGGGGTCGTCCTTCTTGGACTGCATCTCGACACGGATGACCTCGATGGGCTGGTTCCATGCAGACAGACCGCCACCTAGAGAGCTGGCCAGGATCTTCTCCCAGGCGGCCAGCTTCTCGGTTTCGTTCTTGCCGGAGACTTTGCGGATGCCCTGCTCAGCCAGACGCGACAGGCCGAAGCGCGAACCCCAGTTGGTCATCTGGCGAATGGCGACGGCGTTGACACCACGGTTAATACCGCGAATACCCTCGCGGCGGTAGATGTCCATAAAGGTGGCCCAAGTGCCCTGGGCAGCCTGACCGGCGGCGGCAGCCTTGTTCTTGGTGATCTCAACCGTCTTCATGCACGTGCAGAAGCCCATGGTAGCATAGGCCTGCGCGACACCACCAGCGACGCCACCGGCAATACCACCGACGAACTCGGAGCCACCAGCGGCGCGGGCGTAGTACTCGGCCTCGGAGGCGACGAAGAGAAGGACGGCGCCCTTGGTGGAAGCCTCAATCCATGCCCAAGGGATCAGACCTTGGTAGACTGTGAAAGGCGGGAAGAAAAATTCAGTGTCAGCGCTGACAATTGACATGTGACACAGGTTCGAGAGCACGGAAAACAAAGCATATTGCGATCAAAACACAAAAGAAGAACAAAAAGAATACGTACAGCCAAGAATGCCACCACGGCTCCAGATGCGGCCGATAGCAGAGGCGAAGCGGTCACCACGGTGGGCGGCCATGGTGGTCTTGGTCACCTCGAGCGGCTGGCCCAGGGTGGTGACCTCGAACATGTTGAGGCCGGCGCCGAGAAGCAAGTTAGAGAACTTGATAGGCTTCTTCTCAAGCTTCTGCGGTGCCGCGGGAGCGGCAGCAATGGATGCGGACGACATGGTGAATGTGTGAAGGGAGGGGAGAGAGCGAAAAGTTTGAAAAACGTCGAGGAAGTTGTTTCGAACAATCGTGATGTTCAAAACAAGACGGGCCTGACCAAGGCAAGAGGGCGCTTCTTTGCTAATTTGGGGGGGGGAGTAAAGTTTGGGGTAGCGGAGACGCTGCTTCTGATGCTGGTAGCGGGTCGGACTATCCTACGACCGAGGATATATGATATTTGGCTAGGGAGGGAAAGAGCTGGAGAGTGGTCGCGGTTGTTGGAGCTTGCGGGCTTTTTGGGCGACCCTGGGCGGTTGGTGGTGAAAAAAGGCCTTGCGAATCAGGGTCAGATCGTTATCGTTCGGAATTTCGTGGGGGACGAGGGGCCGTTTCTGGGCAGTTGATGATAAGCCGAGGAAGAAACGGAGCTGCTGAGTGCTGGGGCAGAGTTCATGTTAGCGGTGTGCGGTGGACAGTAAATACTCAGTAAACAGGAGAACAGGTGGTGGTGGGATAAGCGAGTGAGATGTTAGGGCGTGGCGACAGAAGGTCCGGAGGCGACATGATTAGCACGTGTCACCGAACTTCGCTGGGGACCCTGCGGTGTCATCTCTTCTGATGGCCAGGAACAATCCGTGGCTTCCAAGGGGCAAAGACAGGGCGACGAATTTTAGGTCGGTGGCGGAGGCCCAATCAGAAGTAACGGGGAGCACCAGAAGTAAGCTTTGTGAGCCATCAAACACGCACTTCGTAAGGATGCATAAGCAGAGCCCAGTGCCCAAGTGCAAACAAGCCCCGAATGATCCTGGTGAAGTGCTGCACTCTGAAGACCGAGAATAGAATAGAGATGCGGAGGTGATCGAGCGGAGAGGGCTGTTGCGGCGGAGGGATCTCTGTATTGTCCAACGGCCCCTCGTCTTGTTGGAGATGAGAGCAGCCAGCAGACGAGCTTGGCCGTTGCGGGTAGGGCATCGCTATGGGATTCCGTTTGGCAGCCTTTGGCATGCTGCGGACATGCTTTTGCCAACAAAGGAAAGGTAAGGGAATGAGAGGAAAACCGCCCAGAGAGTGGCTGACAAGGCGCCCAAAGAGCGAGCGACACTTACATACTTGGAGGAGCCCAGGCGATGCTAGGTAGCTTGTGCGATGCTGTTCGAAAGGGTAATGTATGTCCGTTTCGGAAGAAGCAGATGGGGGAATTGCAAGTGTGCAGGTTGCAGGTTACGGACAAGCGCGATGTGAGGTGAGAACAGAAGGAAAACGAGAATGTTGTGAGGCTTATGGGGGAGATTGGAATGTCTGACGACTGAATAAAAGACGGTGAGACACTGGATAGAAGGGGTCGAAAAAAAGGGGGAAGGAGGGCATCCCCTTTACGTTCGTTACTTCTGTCTGGCCGAGACCGAGTGCAAAAGTCCTACAAGTTAACACGGGAAGGCGCGATCCAAAGAAGGCAACAGGCTGGCTGCGTATCTTTGTTCGCTCTATTCTTTGCATTGCTCTTTCTCTTGTCTGTTTGAAGGTCTTTCTTCTTTTGATGGCAAGCGTCTTTTTTACGATCGACAGCCAACGGTGAACATCGTAGGGGGAAGGAACGCACTTGCCACGAATGGGACGAGCATTGTGACACAAATTGTAAGTTTACGGTGTGCAAGATGCTGGGCATGGTCCATTGGGGTAAAGACAACGAGGGTCAGCCAAAAAGCGTGGAAAAGCGTTGTTTCGTTTGTTGGGTTGCTGAACAAACTCAGCTTTACAGTGGGAAAGTGGAAAGTTCTACGTATACGTACCTTCCCGTGGCTTCCCTGTTAGTGTCCCGTCTTTGGCACCTGCCCCGCCTTTTTTACCCAACAAACGTCACATTCGAACGTACTTCGTCCTGTTCCCCAATAAAAAGTTAGGGATGCGACTGGCACGTTGTTCTCAACAGCAACGACAGCCTCGTAACTCAGGTTTCCAACCCCGAAAACAGAACCGACCTGGGAATTTTGTGCACTCAAATCAGAACGGGGGCCTTGCAGTGGGCACGCTGCCAAGGCGTCCATGACAAAGGTACGACATTCGCAAGGACAGACGTGCTACATCCTTGCGTCTTAACTAAGTTGTAGTTGTGGCTAGGCCGAGTTTGTCGTCTCTATTGGCCTGGTGTGCATTTGATCCAGCCTTCAACTGCTCAAGGTTTTGTTGAGGGACCCAAAGCTAGGGCTTTTGCTTTTGGAGCTTCATCGAGTCGCCGTACGGACTTTCACCATTCTGTCTTGCTTGGACTTGTGGATGGACGGCAGACCAAGACCTTCTCCGCATCCAAAAATAAAACGGCGAGCAAGGCTGCTTGTCGAATTGGCCATGTACGTTGTCATTTACGGATGTATATTTGGGGTAAACTCGTTTTTTTTCGGGTCTGTATGTTTTCGTCTTGCATTCCGAACGCGCAAAGCACAAAAGCTGCAGCCCTCTCCGAGGCCTACCGCTCTTTGCGTTTTTACGACTCCGGAGCAGCGATCAGTTACGCGACCCTTCGTACGGACTACTTCATATTTGGTGTAGATTTGCAAATGATTTTAATTTGCACAGGCACTCTGAAGCCTACGGTACTGGGTTCTACTTGACGCTGCATCGTCATTGGTTCTGAGTAATAGAATGGTTGTGTAGAAAGTTGAGATTGGTAAATTCAGGGCCAGAGAAATCAATGTCCATCGGAGAGGAAACACAAAAAGGTAAGAAAACGTGAGCGCGACATCCGTGAACAGGTCCCGTCGGGTATGTACTCCATACCGTCCCCTCCCGTTTCGTCGTCCATTCATCACAAGTGTCTATTCTAGTCTAGAAAAGGAGAGGGTAAAAATTACAATTTAAGCTTTTCCGCCCAGGTGACACCAGAACATGCCACGAAGGACATGCACCGGTCAACAACAGACGGACCTCCCTTCGGGCACATACAAGGGGGGAAATACATGCGAAGACACAAGAACCCTGGGCGCGCGCGCCCACGCGCCCGCGCGTGCCACCAAATACACACAAAAACACCCCTGCATCAAACGTGGATTCTTTCCCCCGTGTGTTCACACCGACAGTTTAAACTCGCTATTTTTTTGTGAAATATAAGCCAAAAAAACAAAGAGAGACAGCGCTCTACAGCTTCTTGACGAGCTCAACGTACTTCTCGGTGGAGAAGGACTTGGGGCGCTCAATGGGGGCGCCGACGGCGCGGTCGATGATCAGTTGGGGCAGCACGCCCAGGGCGCGAGACACACCGAACAGGACGGTGTAGTAGCTCGACTCGGTCAGGCCGTAGTACTGCAGCAGAACACCCGAGTGGGCGTCGACGTTGGGGTAGGGGTTCTTGGTCTTGCCGTGCTCGGTCAGGACGCCGGGGGCGATCTTGTAGACCTGGCTGACCAGCTTGAACAAGGGGTCCTCGGGCATCTTGGCCAGGGCAAACTCGCGCTGGGCGGTGTAGCGGGGGTCCGTCTTGCGCAGGACGGCGTGGCCGTAGCCGGGCACGACGCGGCCGCTGTTGAGCGTCGACCACAGGTACTCGGTGATCTTGGCGTCGCTGATGTCGCCGCCAATCGACTTTTGCATCTCCTGCAGCCAGTTCAGCACCTCCTGGTTGGCGAGGCCGTGCAGGGGACCGGCCAGGCCGTTGAGGCCGGCGGCCAGGGACAAAAAGGGCGAGCTCAGGGCGCTGCCGACCAGGTGGGTGGTGTGGGCCGAGACGTTGCCGCCCTCGTGGTCGGAGTGGATGGTCAGGTACAGGCGCAGCATCTCGACAAAGTCGGCGTTGCCGCCGAAGCCGAGCTGGTTGGCAAAGTTGTAGCCGTAGTCCTTGTCCTTCTCAACAGCGGCAACCTTGGCGCCCTTGAAGACGTTCTGGTAGATGCGGGCGGCAATGGTGGGCAGCTTGGCAATCAGGTCCATCGAGTCCTCGTAGGTGTAGCCCCAGTACTCCTTCTTGTTGATGCCCTTGGCGTAGGCCTTGGCGAACGACGAGGTCTGCTCGAGGGCGGTGACGGCCAGCGACAGCTGGGCCATGGGGTGCAGGTCCGTGGGGCAGCGGTCGATCAGCTCCTCGACGAACTTGGGCACATCCGAGCGGGCAGCCCACTCGGCCGACAGGTCGCGCACCTGCTGCTCGGTCGGGACCTCGCCGGTCAGCAGCAGCCAGAAGAGACCCTCAGGCAGGGGCTCGGTGCCACCGGGGGCCTTGGGGAGGACCTCACGGCACTCGGGGATGGTCTTGCCGCGGAAGCGGATACCCTCCTGGGCGTCCAGAACGGAGCCCTCCCAGACGAGGGCCTTGATGCCGCGGGCACCGCCATAGACCTGGTCGAGGGTGACCTGGTCGATGACCTTGGAGCCGCTCTCTCTAGACAGCAATTGTCAGTATCCGTATATATGTGTGTGTGTTTGCGTGTGTATAATTTTCGCGGCTTTACAGGCATTCGGCGCGATGCGAGCGACAAAGGAGACACATACTTGCGGAGGGCCTTGATCTCCTCGATCTTGCCGGGCAGCAGCTCGGCAAAGCGCTCCTTCAGGGTCTGTATTTTGGAATCTCGGTCAGCCGTTTTTCGTTTTCTCGCAGCCGTCGGCACCCAATTGTCACCGACGACCGTCCATGGGCACCAATGCGCCCGTCGGAACCGCCGACCATCGCCAACGTACCTGGGCCTTGGCGGAGTAGCAGCGAGCGGCGTTGAAGGCCGTGGAGCGGGCGCCGAAAGCGGAAGACGCCCGGAGGGAAGTGCGGAAAGCACTTGAGCTCAGGCGCATAGCGGAAGCCATTGTGACGGTTGTGTGTTTGTTTGTTGTGAGGGCAAAAGAGGAGGTGTTGGTTCGTGAGAGGAGGGAGGGAGGGAAAAGAGAGCAAGCTTCAAAGCAGAGGTCGAGGGATAAAAGGGAAGCGGCAGGTTTTTAGGCCACTTTTTTTTTTGTCCAGCACGGGAAAGTGTGCTGGAAAGGCTAGGAAAAAGGGGATACTCGGAAGGTGGAGGATGGAGGGGCGTGAACTGTTGTGTTGTTCCTGCCAGGCCCGGGCCTGAGTAGTAGAGACCACAGGAACATGGCAAGGAAGGGACGGCTGGCCCAGAGCTTCGTTGGGTCAAGAATCAGAAGAGAAAAAAAATTCAACACGAAAACACCCCCCCCCCACACCTGTCGCTCATAATGAACGACACCGCAACACACAAAAAGGCCGCAAGCGTTGTAGCTCTGTCGCAGAGGTGAATGGTAAAATGAAATAAAAATGGGGCCTGGCCTTTCCGGACTTCAGGGAACACGCTAAGGAGCAAAAGAGAGGGGCGTCAAAGTCGGCACAGGGACTGGAAAAGAGAATGACAGCGCCTGTAGTCACTGAAAAGCCATCGACGGACACTATCTTCCTTTGGACGAGCAGCCGCTATGAGCGACTGTCAACACAGCGGATGGCAGGAGCGAAGTAGCGAATCGCGCTGCCAGACAAAGCGCGAGCCCCTGTCCATCTTTCCGATTTCTTCAGTGTTTTCCGTGTTTGTCGCAGTTTCCCCGAATCCCCGGTCACGAATCCATGTGCTTTCCACAACTGCCCTCTCTGGACTGTCCGTGATCAGATGGCGCAAGAGGAAGGCACCAGCTTCGGACCAGGGAGCGAGTTGCGGAGCATCTACGGAGCCGAGTTTGCTGTGATTGTCCAGATGGTTATTCAAGTATTACCCACACACCCACTCCATCCGTATGTCCTTTCGCATGCGAGACAAGTCCTTACACTTCACGGTTCCGGGAAAACGCAACACAGCAGTCAAGTAATACTACGCGAATTGCCACTGAAAGCGCTGGCTGGCGGTCGTTATTGGAGGGCCAATAGGCCGTGTCCGCGCCACTCGGCTCGCGACAATGGCACCAGCGATGGTGAGTGTCACCGGGTAGGCATTGACGTCAGACGACTTGCAATCGTGTATGTTGTTCTACAAGAGTTTCTGCTGCTTTTTATAGCTTCTCTGCCACACCTTCGAGAAGAGGATACCATGTCCACAAGAGGCAAGAGCGAGGCAACAAATAAACCGAGCACATCGTCATAGTGCAGATATCCGTACTGTAGCTGGCAGCGGGTCTCTTCGGTTCCTCGCTGGCATTGCAGGCGCCATTCAACACACCCACTCGCAGGCCAGCTTTCGGCTGCGATGCGAATAGCCTCGCGAAAGCCGAGTTAGTCGCATTCGGACGTAAGGCAACGGCAAACTTAGCACCAGCTTAAAGGATGACTAATCGAACAATAAAGTCACGTGATATGACTGGCCAACCTGTTATGCTCTCTGCCGGCATGAAAGGTTTTTCTTCCCCCGCCACCTTCTCTGTTTGCTGTTGCTCAGCCCGAAAACTCTCCCTCTTCCAAACACTTTTTTTGTCATCGCCATCACGCCTTTCCATCTTTTTCATCAACAACCATCGACAACCATCGGCAACTGTCTGCGACACTGTAATAGCGATAATTTCTACTTTGTCTTGCGTATTTAGATCGTCTCAGTGGTCATTCTGAACGTTGTCGGCCATCCGCATCGCCCTCTGTAGGCCTGCTATTTGAGAAGCACCAGTTTCCCCCCTTTTCTTCTCCCTTTTGCCTCCCACGTCTTCATCCTCAGTATTCCATCATCACACCCATCGGTCTCTGTCTTCGTTCTTGGTCTCGACATCGGCCAGAACATCTAGAACTAAATCAGCCCGACTCCAATAACGTACCAGCGTCGACGGCCCCAGGCAACATTCGTTTTGCTCTCGTGGCCCGCGCAACTTGACGACGTAACTGGCAGCACAATTTGCTCCATAAGCCTGATCATCACCAACGACAATCTAGCTTCTGCCACTTGTTGGCTGCTTTGACATTTTGAGCAAGCAGCTTTGGCACTGCATCTCTTTGGCCCCCGTACACTTCTAGCTGTGTTGCTTTTGTACCGCTGGACAGACCAAATTTGGCCAGAGGCCAAAAGGTGCATCTTGGCGTTTCGCAACTAGCTCCGCTACAGTAAACTGCATTCTGAGGGCCTGTAACCGGGCTTGGCCAGGATCCGTGAGAAACAGGAGAAACGAGTGGCATCTGTGCACTGGCACCTCGCAGCGAAATATTTGCGCATTAGAGAGACGGGGCGTTGGACACGGCGACTTCAAAAGCCATAAATCATCGGGACAAAGAACCCCCCCGAGCGTTATTACGACAGAATTCTTGAGACCTGTATCCTCGACGTCTATAGACCGAGTTGAGAAAGGCTCCCGAGGCTCAGATCGACCTCGCGTATATATTCACCGCCAGCCGTTTGCTGCACGTATTTGCATTAGGCAGACCTGCAGACTACGGCCAGGCCTTTGACGCTGTCTGCCGACGACGACAGCCACCCCCGCGCCCACATCTACGCCTACAGTTACATAACCCACACCCACGTCACCGAGCCATGGCATCACCAGTGGCCGAACTCGACGCTGGCTTGCAGGCCATGCAGGGCCTCAAGCCGCCGGGCGTCTCTGGGTCACGCATCGCATCTCTGACGGCACTGTGTGTCGCCAACGTCCAGGTAATTCTATTCCAGCCGTCTCGTGCCTTCTGCAGTCATGCTTATGAACGCTTTTTATGAGTTCGTCTTTGTCTTGTCACCGCTCCAGTTACTGACACATACTTTTTTTGTTCGTCTTGTCCAGTCCGAATCCGTCCTCATCCAAAAGTTATACACACACTTCAAGAAGACGCCGGGCACGCACAAGCTTGGCGTGCTCTATGTCGTAGATTCTGTAACCCGCAAGTGGTTGGACCAGGCCCGGCAGCAGGGCCAGGCCGTCAACGGGTCTGCCCCGGACGGCACCTATGCTGCAGGCGTGAATAGAGTAACCGAGCTGATTCCGGTGCTGATGACCGACATCTTGTCGACAGCCCCAGCTGACCAGAAGGTAAGCCCATTGAGATGTCACAGTTTTGATATTTACAACGTCGTCCATGACACAGCAAATGGACGGGGACGAGAGAACAGAGACATGAGAAAAGATGCGACGAGAGTAGCTTCGTCGACCAGTAACTGGCAAACGACCACAGAGACCACAGGGCCCGATGCTCCGTTTGCTGCTGCCCACAGATGGCTATTGGTTGCATCCTGCTGTCGAGGACAGATGGTTGCAAATGTAAACTGCATCTGCGGCTTGCCGAGACGACAAGCGTACTGTTTGCTGCGTTTACTGTCGTATTCCTCTTTTTGCTCGCCACTCGTCTGGCGAGATGGCGAGATAGCTTGCCTGTTCGCACTCGTCATCCCGTCTCGTGTCTCTAGTGCCGGTCTTTCACGCGTATTGCATTTCGTTCGTCGTATTTTGACGTATTTTCTCACACATTTCCGTCTGCCTTTGCGCTTCGTATTTTGTTTCGCCGCTTTTGGTTTGGTCCTTTTTCCTCGTTCACATACTCACATTCGCCCGTCGTTGCGTGTAGGATAAAATCAAGAAGCTCGTCGATATCTGGGAAAAGGGCCAGACGTTCTCTCCCCAGCTGATTGAGTCTTTCAAGGAGAAGCTCAATGCTTCAGCATCCAGTAGGTCCCCTCCCGTTTGCAGCTCACCACGTCCTTACCTCGTACGAGCGACGACCTAACGCATCCGTTTGCATTTATAGATGTCTCAACGACGCCGCCGGGTAGCCCGCCGCCCAATGTTCTGACACAGGGCGCCGCCAAGCCTGCAGCGCCTGCTGGTCCTCCGGCCCTGCCACCGAACATTATGGAGACTCTCGCCAACTTGGCCAAGCAGAGCTCATCTACCGCGGCGCCGCTGCCCGCGACGGCCACACCGCCGACACTGGCAGTTCCCTTTGGCCAGCAGCAGCAACAGCCGCCGGCTCAGCCATTACAACAGTATGGCCAGCAGCCCCTTCCTTTCCAGATGCCCCCGGCACAGCAACAGCAACAGCAGCCCCCGTTTCCGGGCCCGTATGGTGCTTCCGGCGCTGCCCCCGGTGCACCTGCCCCCAACTCCCAACTGCCGCCAGCCCTCGCCGGTTTGGCCGGCCTCATTGGCGCCGCGTCTCAGCAGCAGCCGCATCAACCACCGCCGCCACAGCCGCAGCCGCAACCTGGCGCTGCGCCCAACGTTCAGCAGAACCTACTGTTTATCCAGGCTCTCCTTGCTCAGGGCCTTTCTCTGGACCAGATCTCGGGCATCTTGGCCCAGGTTGGTAACGGCGCACCCGCCACCGGTGGCCCTCCTTCGCTCGTCCCATCAGCTATTGCGGCGGCCGCTGCCGCTGCAGGCGCGGGCGGTGCTGCACAGGCTGCGCCGCAGTGGCCCCCAAACAACTATGGCGGTCGCTCTCCTGGCCGTGGTCGGTCTCGGTCTCGTTCGCCTGGCAGACACTGGGATGGGCGTAGTTCGCCGCGTGGACGCGACCACCATGGACGCGGCGGCGGCCGTGACTACCGTCAGCGCTCGCCTCCTAGCGGTGGTCGGCGCAGCCCGCGCAACCCCGAGCCCCCTTCGCCCGGCTCCAAGTTTGTCGAGCACGACCCGTCCCTGCCCGAGAATACGATCCGTGTGCTGAGCCGGACCCTCTTTGTTGGTGGCGTCAATATCCCGGAGTTGGAGCTGCGTGCTATTTTCACCCGCTTTGGTGACGTCCAGACGTGCATTGTCAACAAGGAGAAGCGCCACGCTTTTGTCAAGATGTACACGCGCGCTGACGCCGAGGCCGCAAAAGACGGCATGGAGCATGCCCGCGGCGCCGATGACCTCGGCCTGCGCACGCGCTGGGGCGTCGGTTTCGGCCCTCGCGACTGCAGCGATTACTCCAAGGGTGTCAGCATCATCCCGATCGCGAAGCTCACCGAAGCCGACCGCAAGTGGCTCCTGACCGCCCCCTGGGGTGGCAGTGGCGGCCGCCCGATCGCTACTGGCCTCGTCGTCGAAGAGCCCGACATTGAGATTGGTGCCGGCGTATCGTCCAAAGCCATCAGCCGCCGCATGCAGACCGACCGCGGTGGCGTCAACGGCCCGCGCTCCACCCGTCGTGAGGAGGAAATGGCCAACGCTAACACCGTGCCCATCAACCCGCGAGGTGGCCGGCGTGGTGACTACCGCGGCGATAGAAACGATCGCGGTAGCTACGACCGTCGTGGCAACGGCAGCGGTGCTGGTGACGAGCTGAACTATGGCGGCGGCGGTGGCCCGGGCGACAGCAAAACCAGCAACGGCAACGGCGCGGCACCTCCAGCTGGCTTTCCCTTTGGCCTGACCATGGGAGCCAACGGCATGCCTGTCTTCCCGCCTGGCTTCCAGTTCCCTGCGCCCGAGTAAACACTATTCTTTTTTCGGGGTTTCTTTTTCTTTTCATCATTCTCATTGTATTTTGCTCTCTCTGTTTGTGGCAACATGACGCCCTCGTAACATGTTGAGCCGTCTGTTTTGTGTTTTGTGTTTTGCTTTGCTTAAAGGACCGTTCAAGTTTTATCAGTGGGAGGATTGAGGAGTTTCAGTCGGTTCTCCTATAAGAGAGGACTGCATTGTACTTGTTTCTTCAAAGTCATTGGTGGGAGGATTCCGGAGTACAAAATAAAATGGCATCTGGACAGAAGAGCAAGGAAATATCCCGTTTATGGCGGTTTTCTGGATTTTGGCATGAATTTGATAACGGGTTTGTGGATCGCTAGCTTATTGTTTTATTCACATAATTAATTCTACGTACGAAAACTATACATGAGATTTCTCAATGTGGTGTTGACTTTACAATGTAAATGCTTACATTGTCCTATTACCACTACGATACTCAATACCCCTAACGAGACCCGGACTGATTGTCTTTCACATTGTCACGGGCTGTCTCACGACAAGCAATAAATTCTCATGAAAACTCCGTGGAATAAATGAGATCAACACCATGACACGAGCTTGACTCATACAGAGTAGTGAAAGCCAACTTTGAATACACCAAACACTACATTGTACCAAAAGAACACAAGACGCGTACCCACACAAAAAATGAAAATGAAAACAAAAGGCAGCAAGCCTTCGTTGATATGTAAATGGAATCTAACCCGATAGAACAGTAATAATAAAAACGAAAATGAGGGTCCTGATCTTCAACTCTCAGATACAAGAGAATAAAATAAAACCCCCAAAACAGTGCACAAAATAGAGTCGTACTACATACAGCCGACGCCGCTGAGCCAAAATTAAGGGAGTTCACAAGCGAGAGGTGAAAAAAAAAGCACAAGCAACAAAGCGTAAGAAAGTTAAAAACCAACTGCGCAAAGCAAAATCAAGACCTAGATGAGCGACCATGTAGTTATCCATTTCCCAAGAAAAAACAAGTGAGAAGACGAAGAATAGTGATGCAGTCGTGAAAGAGGAAGAATGTGTAGGTAGGGGTGATAAAACAAATATTGTAGAAATAGATCAGCAGACCTGCGATGGAGTCGAAACAGGCAACAACGAGGTTATACGACGATGCCGTGGATCCCTCCAAGGACGTCTTGTGCGTCATTGTTGGGAATCGCGGCCACAGCGGGAGGGTCAGGTAATATTTGCTTCTCGCCAGCCACATTGTCTTTGTCTTTGTTGCCGTTGTCAGCATTCGTGCTGGTAGGACGGATAGGGTTGCTGAGGCTGGTTGCGTACGGCACGTTGAAGGTGACAGATGGGAAGAAGTCCCAAGCACGGGCGCCAGAGAGCCACAGAAGCAGTACGCCGAGGAGGATCGGAATCTGTTGTTGAAATGTTAGTAGAGTGTATAGGTTGAATAAAGTAAAGACCAAACGAAGACCCCAAAAAAGTAAAAGAAATAAGAATACGTACCCAGACAGTGTACAGAAACGTGTCAGAACTCAGGCCCTTGCGCTTCTCCTTATGAACGCGCCGGAAGTTCTCTTGCTGTTCCTTGGTAATCTGGTGCTTGCGGCCGATCTGGAGAACGGGCGTCGAAGCCAGGCACTCTTCTTCGTCGTCAATCTCCCCACCGTTGTCTTCGATCTGCGTGGTGGCGGTGGTCTTGGCGGCAGTGGCCTGCTGGTTGAGTTCTTCGACTTGCTGGTTGTCGTACAGCGCTGCGCACTTAGTGTCGGCTTCAGCCTCGGCCGCTGCGGCGGCTGCCGTTGCCTGCTTCGTGTCCATAGCACCACTCTTTTGCGGGAAGATCTCCTCGTAGGCAGGCGGCGGTGCCGAGCCAGTCATGCGCGACGACAGATCCCACCAGCGGCCTTCAAATTCCTTGGTGCCTGGTGCACCACCAGCATCCGAGTTACCTGACGAGTTGGGCCGCGAGCCCATTGCACCGCTGATGTTGATGTTCGGAACCAGCGATGAGATGCGCTGGAAAGCCGCCGAGTTGAGGTAGGCCTGGTAGTAGTCGGGCAGCGGGTTGTTGGGGATCTGCGGGATCTGGGCTATGAGCTGCTGGAAGTGTGCTGACAACTGTTCCTTGAAGGCAGACATGGCAGCGGCCGCCGGAGATGCCAGTGCCGCGGGGACATTGGCTCCTCTGGCAGCCGCATCTGCAGCAACATTTGAAGCCGCGAGGGGGTCGGGACTTGTGTCACGGACACCGTGTCGGCCATGGATGCTCAGAGAGCCCCGCGACATGACACGTGAGCCAGGCCGCATATCGAGCCATTCCACGTCGCCTTCTTGCTCACTACTGGCCTCGTCATCACCAGAGGCGGCATATGACGAGGAATCCACCTCGGCACGGCTGCTGTCTTCCGAGTCGCCCGTCTCCACCTCTTCACCAGCGCCAGACGCACGGCGGCGGATCGTCGACATGCTCATGGGCTCCCACAGAGACCGTAGCGAAGCCGCGCTGTTAGTGCGGCTGTGAAGGGAGCCGCCGCTGCGCGACCGGGCGTGGCGCTCAAACCGCTTAATGGCACGAAGCACCTCACGTGAGGCTGTGACCTCCGACGCCGTCAGGCCGGACAGCGTGCGCATCGTCGGGTCGGCACCGGCATGGATCAGGCGGCGCACAATCTCGGGCTGGTTGTTGAGGGCGGCCAGGTGCAGGGGGGTGTAGCCGCCGTTGTCACGGACATCGGGGTTGGCGCCGCGGGCGAGCAGGCCAGCCACAAACCGGTGCATACCAAGAACGCAGGCCAGATGCAGCATGCTGTGGCCAGTGGTGCGGCGCTGCATATTCAGGCGCGTCTGGTTAGACGAGTCGTCAAGGTCGATCAGTTCCAAAACCTTGAGCAGATGCGTCTCAAAGTTGGGGCCACCGGTGCTGGAAGCCACGTCCGCCACATTGCCAGAGACGCCGCGGGTGCTGCCGGCACTACTGCCACCACTGGTTCCGCCACCGGATGTACCCCAGGTCGATGTTTCGCTGCCGATGATCCGTCGGGCCACGTCCTGCGCATCCTCAATCTTCCCAGTCATTTTCCTAGATAAGACAGTAAGAGCGGCGCGTAAAAGCTGTTGTTCGTCATCGTCAAGATACTTGAATGTGATGCGCTGCTGATTGGCAGCGAACGGCTGAGCCGAACCACGCTGGTTTGACTGGCGCAGCGTGACGGGAACATGGCCGGCAATAGACGATGGCGGCACAAGACACACCAAAGAGCTCTCACCCCAGAACGTTGTTGTCGTTGCGCGCTGGTCACCGAACATGACATCGAGACCCTGGTAGAACGAGCTTCCCAAGATTGTGACCTCGATGCCACCAGATTTGGGGCCCTCGGCCGGGATGATCTTGTGCACAACCGGCTGCGAAGTCGGTGTCGTATCGGTCTGAGGTAGCGACATAGGCAGCGAGAAAAGCCCGTTCTGGAACTGCTGGGAGAACTGTGCTTGGTTCAACTGCTGTTGTAATTGCTGCTGCTGCTGTTGGAAGAGCTGCTGCTGGAACATGTGAATGGGACCCCGGAGGCCGTTAGGGCTCGGAGCGCGACTCGGGTGGGTTGAAGTTGGTGCTGAGAACATGGGTGTCTGCGAGAGACCGATGTTGTCGAAGCTTCCCGACCGGTTGCCATTGATATACGCGGCTGTCTGGTCGGTGTGGCTGTTCGGTGTCAACGGGCCGGTTGGCATCGGATCCGCGTTCATCGGGACGATTCCAGCAAGGCTGTCAATATCGGGGTCGCCCGAGCCACCGGCACGGAGAGCCATGTCGACAGCCGCAGCCATGGTATCAGGCACAAATCCGGATGGCGGTGACAAGAACGTAGAATTGTTGGAGAACTGTGCCACCGGTGATGTAGAAGAGGCAGCACGACGGCTTCCCGAGTCGGACACGTGTTGCTGGGTGGGCTGTTGTGGTTGGGGGGACGTCTCGATACGGGTCATGGCAAGCCCCGATGGCACCTTTGCGGCGCCCGGAGCGCCAGGGACGCCAGCGCTCGACTTCCGCTTTTTGGCTGAGTGACCCTTAAGCCCATCCGGCGAGGCTGGTCTCGAGAGCGCCCGGGCCATGGCCGCTACTGAAGAAGAGGCGGCGGCAGCAGCCGCAACCGCAGCCGAGGTGTATGAGTTTGCATTGGAGCTGCTTGCCTTGTCGATTTCTGGAGCCGAGAATGTAACCGATCCGCGTTTAAGTGCAGAGGGGTCGGAGGACGATTGGGAGGTGCGATTGCTCTTGCCAGTCTTGGTAGCAGCTTTTGTGCCGGATGCGGGTGCAACTGTTGTGGCAGAAGAAGGCTTCGATGTGTCTGCAACATCGCCGGCCGAGGCATCACCGTCTACGACTGAGGGCGCTGCCGAGGCGCTTCCAGCAGATGCAGCAGTTGGTGTCTTGTGATCGTCGGTAATCATAATGGACCGCGAGATCGTCTGCGCCAAAACCTGGCCGCGGTAATCTTTCAACGTGAAGATCACCTGGAAGCCAGCTTTTTCGCCGTGGTGCCGGCAGTAACATGTAATGCGCATCGGGATGACAATGGCGGCATTTTCACTCTGCGGGCCCAAGTTGGTGGCGGCCGTGGGGTGCTGCCAGTCCTTGATCTCGTTCGTGTTGAAAATAATGATGCGCCGATGCTCGTCACGGCTCCAGCCCTCATCGTCTTCTGGCTTCTTGGACTTCTTACGGTTGGCGCGTTTTCGCTCTCTCTGGATGCAGCCGCTGCAGATCCAGACTTCACCACCGTCCGCCGGACGGCAGTCGTCACCGTCCTCGCCACTGGCGTCATCACTGGGTCGCGCCTGAGGGCCATACGTAGAGGCGGCAGCACGCTCAAGGGCACGTTGCCGGTTGGCCTCGTTCGCCATGGCGCTCGTACAAACCACCATGGTGTGCAGCTCGAGTGTGTCCGGTGAGTGCTCCGGTGCATTTTTCGCGAGCAGCTTGGGTTTCGAGATGGTGTGGGGTGGCAGGTGGAGCTTTGTGACGTCCGGTGGCAAGGAGGACAGCAGAATCGTGACGGGAATCTGTGTCTCAACGCGTGACTTGTGTGGCTCAATACCGACGGAGAATCGAAGCGGTTGTCGCTGGTTGTTCAACGGTGCTGCTGCTGTTGTTGCAGCGGCCGGGCCTTGTTGGAACACTGGCATCTGTGCTGCTACGTTGTTCAGAAGCTGCTGTTGTTGAGGGACATTCCCTTGCCAAACTGACGTCGGGCTCGCGGGCATGCTTTCCGGGAACAGGAAGTTGGACGCCATCTGAATCGGATCGGCGCCGCCGTTTCCCAAAAATCCGAATCGAAAATCGTTGGAATCAATTGGCGACTGCGAAGATTGCATAAATGCCGTTGGTGACGGGCCCTGGCCGAAAACGAAGTTGGAGACGGGCGAAACTTCACGGGAAGCGGCCGTGTTGAGGTTGTTCATAGACTGGCTTAGAGAATATTGCTGCTGCTGAGTTAGAAAACAACCGATGTTGTGCATAAGCAAATTGTAGACAGGAAGATATGCGTTGGCAGCATGAACTTACCGATGCTGCCTTGTTGTGCCCCTTGCGGCGCTGTTCTGTGGCACTGTCGGTGGGCGCTTGGCCAAACATGGCCACCGCCGAAGAAAATAGCTGCGGTGTGTTGAAGGCGGGGATCGTCAGGTCGTCGGGAGTCGGGCTACTCGTAGCGCTCACGAATTCCAGAGGAGAGGGCCCGCCGCTGTACGGGCTCAAGTCCGAGCCGACGGTTGGTTCTGTCTTGAGACTGGAGCGGAGACCGGCAGCTGCTTCCTGGTTTAACGCGTCCTCGGCACCACCGAATCCTGGGGTATTCTGGATAGATTTGGGATCGATCGTGGCAAAGCCGTCGCTCTCGGTGTTCATAGACTGGTTATGGTCGTCCTCGTCGTCGTCTTGGTCGTCGTCCAGACGCAGGTAATCTCGGAAACTCCAGTTCTGTTGTGTGCTGTCGCCAAGGTCGTCACCTGCACGCAGCCCCTCATCCGTCATCATAATGTCGTCTCCGACAGATGTTGTTTGCTGTTGGTGCAACCGCGCTGCAGGATTTGGTACTGCGGTGCCCGCGGGGCGACTAGGGTTGGACGAGGCCTTCGTTATGGTGGAGCCCTTTGACGATCGCCCACGGCTCTTTTTTGCTGGTGTTCCGCCGGCAAGGCTGGACAAGGCCGTCAAGGATGTTTGTTTGGAAGAAGAGATATCGGAGGACGAGTCCTGGAAAGACGACAAAAGGGACTCGGGAGAGGAAACGGATTGCTGTTGGGACAGCGCCAGCGATGAGTCGTCGGCCAAAAGCCGGTCTTTGCCGATGCCTGGTTTGCCGGAGCCGGGGCCGCCGGCGGTGGTAGAGTCGAAACCCCGAGATTTATGTGCTTGTGGATTCTGGTTCCCGCCTACTTGATGGATGTGATGAATCTGATTGTGAGGGTTCTGGATGAAGTCGACGGTCAAGGCGGGCGGGGAATCACCCATCCACTCGGAGTGGACGGCGTAATCGCCGGGAGAGGCGGCGAGGGCTTCGAAGGACGTGTCCTGGTCAGACATGTCCTCTGATCTGACGAGGATGTACGGAGGGTCGGGAGGGGGCAGACGGCCTTCGGGTGGGCGGTCAGAGCGATATTTTGTCGCCCAGCTCCCGAATCTCGACTGCTGGGTCGCAGTGCCGGCCAATCTCGCCAAAAAAGGGACACGGTGGTCCTAATTGAAACGGTACACAATTTGCCGTCCGCGCCGGGCCGTTACAACGTGTTGGAGTTCGGATGGACGGCGTTGTGGGCGTTCGACGGGCTGGAGACGTCAGGGGAAAATCCGTTGGGAATTTGGCGATTGTCAATGGATGACGTTGACTCTGTGCCTATCAGGGCAGAACAGCAGGGTCGTGACGGGCTCAACGATGCTGCCTGGCGGTGGGAACGTCGCCCAATTTGAAGGTGAAACGGAAAATGTGGTACGTGGCTTCCGATGGCCCGTTGTGTCGTTGCGTGCTGGAGTGAACGTTTGATGTGTCGTCCCAATCGATTTCAGTCAAAGGCACAGTAGTTGACTCGAATGTGGAGGAGAGAAAGAGCGAGAAGTGGGGAACGGGAAGGAGGCTGTCGAAAAAAAAGAGCGAACAAAACAAACGAGAAAAAGGCCAAGCGATGCTTAAGAAAAAAACAAGTGCGTTGGCAGTGTCAAAGGAGGAGGCTGTTTGGAAATCCGGAGTCGTGAGAGTGAAATAAATTTGCCCGTCGTATGTGATCCGAGTCGGGGCCTTCCTAATTTTTCGCCGTCGTCGCAATCCCGCCCAAAATGCAGGTAGTAGTAATTTTACAGCTGGTCAAGGCAGGAACGAACGATGCTATGGCCTCGTTTCTGGACGCTGGGGAAAGAGCGAGTGGCGGAGGGGAGGAATGAACCAACGACGAGACATTTTTTGGGAAAGACCGCAAAGCCTGGTTAAAGAGGAAAGGGCGGTCGCGCTGAGGGTCACCGGACGGTGATTGGCCTGTCAAGCCTTGTGGGTCCATAAAAAAGAGGCCAAGACGCCACAAGAGGGAGACTGAGGTATCTGCCCCTATTATGCTGGTGAACTAATAGTGCGGACTATCTTGACATTTAGAGAACAGAGGGGGGGTTGTCATTGGTACGTTCACCATGCTAATATGGCATGGCTTTCGGGAAAAGGCTACGGGGTTGAACTTGCTGGTCCCAAGTCGCCCCCTCTTTTGGGCAGGCCTAATGGTAAGTTAACTACTCCGTAAAACCAGATATTCTTTGAGGGTGGTGGCACTGAAAAGGGTTTAGTGCTGGTGGTAAAACAGTAAAAACTGGTTATGTCCCAACACTTTTGATAGGCCGCGTCCGCTGTCAACGGGTGACTTCTTTTCCAGGCTGCCTACGGAACACGCTGTGTCACCGATGATGACCACAGCCTGGTAGGGAAGGGGAAAGCCTAAGAGGGACTTGTTATGTTTGAAGAGTCGACGGTGGCCTTTTCTTATCGTGGAAGCGTGTTCAGGCCTGGTGGTGGGATCATCTGTTCATTTCGTCTTCCAACAGCGGGCTGCACGGGGGACCTGCTCGGGACAGAAGGGAGAGGAACAATACAGAATCGGAGCAAAGAACACTTCAGAGGACAGCGTAGCTAAAACGACAAGGCAGCAGGCATGGGCACCTGTCATGATACACGTGCATGTCTTATATTTGGCATGTCCTTGCATTTTGGCACACGTACCGAGGACTCCGATGACAATAGCCTCTCATACAGTAGAACATACGCCGATGACATTCTTAAAAGTGGACTGAACGATGGAGGCAAATGGTTATTGGCAGTCTTGTTGTTGGCAATGTTTGGCACTTCGGTACCGATACGTAAGGGCTGGTCACAAGGGCGATACCAAAGGAAGTGTATGGTATATCTCACACAAACTTCCTTTTGAACCCTCACGAAAGGCACGAAAGGCTCGAAAAATGTGAGACAATGTCCTGATGCAAGGGCACAACCAAAAACTTTTTTCAATCTCGCTTTCTTGAATCACATTGCCCAGTCGGTAGAGCATTCCAAGCCACTGTAGGGGTTCTTCAAAAGTCGACAGGCCCCTTGGGAGGATATGCAGGGAAAAGGGTCCATCAGCAACAAAGACGCCTCAGATATCTCAGAGACACACAAAATTAAGTGCTACCGTCGACCCAGGTCATTATGATTTATTTTCTTCTCAAGAAGGCATTCATATTAGTCAAAGAGGGAGTTGCAAACTGGCTCTGGTCCATACGGGAGCTATGAGGGAAGATCGCGGCTAGATAACACGCAGATACTTCCTGCACACCTGTTGCCTGGCTTGGAAATGCTATCTTCCGGGGCTGACTTTCGAGGTTCGCTTCGTGGCTGGCCCCGCTTTGTGAGACTATCGGACAGGACTCCGTACAACAAGGTGACGATTACTTAACATAAAATACTCTTCAGGTTGGAGAACGGAGTGGGCCAGCTTGAAAGCATGGAGTGGCCTTCTTGCAAAGTGGCTTTGTCGTTAACACCAGCATCCCCAACGCAACGCACGTCTCATGCATGCAGGAAGAAAAGACGTGCGACAGAAGCTGCAGCTCAACCACAAAACAAAACTTGGCAACTGGGGCATGGGCAATTGGCCCAATTGAATCGCAGACAAAGAAGATGCAACGACAATCGCCTAACATCCCGTAGGTTGCTTCGCCAATGTGGGAGTTATCAAGACTTACAAAGGGGAATACGATAAGGCTGCTGGCTTAAAACAGGAAAGAAAGTACAGCCCAGAAGCGTGTGAGTGGTGGGAGTATTACTGTTTATTTCCAAAACAATAGCTTGTAGATAGATCTCGTCTAGATGGAAAAAGTACACAAAAAACCAAAAGGACGAGACCCAAAGTATCTGAAGCGAAAACGACAGGAATAGAAAGATGCAAATACGACCCCGGAATAGAAAAGACGATGCAGTACAAATAGAGCTTGGTCCGCAGAAAAGAGCCGCCTTGGTGCTTGATGCTGCTTCTTCCGCAATTAACTGACCGATGCACATCAAGACAGCCGACTTCACTCGAAACGAGCTCTTTTTCCTCTGGCCGTTTTACTAAATATCTCCTCGGCATCCATAATGTGCACATATTTGGTTTGCAGATTGTCAAGATGAGCCGGCAAGGAAGATCGACACCGGCATGTTCGCCTTTACGGAGTTACACATATGGCGGTTCATCTGGAAAGCGAATGGTCCGGTTCGGGGGCGGAGGAGGCGCTGCTGACATAGCCAAGGGACGAGGCGACGGTGAGTTGGAATGGTTGTTGGTAGGCTCGCCGCCGTCGTTCTCAGGTCCCACGTACACCGGGCGCCGGATAGGGCTGCTGCTTCCACTTGAATCGGCAGGGATTTCGTGAATGATGGAACCGCCAATACGGTAGATCTGCCGAGAGCCCGGATTACCACCACTCGGAAGCGAAGACGAGCTGCCAATTATCTGCTTATCGGCATCCGTATCCCCGCTACCGCCGTTGTGCTGAGCTTGGTCGCCATTGGGCTGTACGTTGGGCGGCTCTGAGACCTGAGCATCTACCGGTGATTCACCAGGACCGACCCTGTGAGGTTGGATAGACAGAGTGTTGACACGGCTGCCAATTCGGAAGGCGGGTAGCGAGGGACCGTTCCGCGCACGCCGGCCGGTAAGGACCCCGTCGTTGTTGCCAAGAGACGCTGACGATGGGGACGACGGGAGGGCGCGGCTGAATGTGCGCGGCAAATAGAAACCCAGCTTGCCGAGTGGGACGCTCAGGCCGTGTACGACAATGCTGACGACCGACAAGAACCACACGACAGTATTGGCGGTCTCCCCGAGAGTAGCAACATCGGGGCGGAGCTTAGCAGGGTTATCGGTGCCGTCGTCAAGACTTTGGGGCGACAGCTTCTCGAGAAAGTCCAGCGTGATGTAAAGATAAAAGATGGCCGAAACGCCCACTGGACCAAAGAAACCGACAAAGATGCCCTGGCGCCATTCTTGAATCTGCGGGATGTACTTGTGGATGGCCATGATCCAGGGAAGGCGACGTAGCAGCAGTATGAGAATGCCGAGCGCAACCAGGCGAGGTAGCGGCACAGGGCCATTTAGGAACGACGACCAAGGACAAACGGCACCATACCACATAAAGATGGTCACGTTGAGCAGCATATCGATCGTCGGCTGCAGAGAATCGTCTTTCGTCTCGAGGCGGAACCAATCGTCCCAGGTAAAGACGTTGCCAGCGATGAAACAGGCCAGCACGTCGTCGCTTCCGATAAGACCGCATGTGCCGACAATGAACAGGGCCAACGAGATGGCAAAAACAAGAAAGCTCTCGCGGTCCACAAACTTACGCTGCTCTGCCCAGTGCAGCAACTCCTTTGCGACGTATCCGACCACGGCGCCATAGACGATGCTCAAAAGAATGGTGTATCCAAGCGTTTCGCCAAACCACAGGCCAATGGCTTTGCCGGCACCGCCTTCAGGCACCGGAAACTCGGGAGTCGCGTCGAAGCCAATGTACTGGATCAGGTACAAGGCGAAGAAGAGGAAGGGGTAGCCCAGGCCATCGTTGGCGCCAGACTCGGCGATAATGATGTGTTGAAGCTCCACGGGGACGTTTTGGTCGGCGAACCGGCCTTTGACAATAACGTTGGACAGAATTGGGTCCGTCGGGGTTGCGCACGAACCGATAGCCAGCGCGTGCAAAAACGACAGACGAGGCGTAACGAGGCCCCAGATAAGCAGGCTGGTCGCGAGCCACATGATCGTCATGATGGGGAGAAGAAGCCAGGTCAGCGGCCGCCATTGATGCTGCAGGTACCTGCTGGGCAGCTGCACACCAGCGAGAACAAGCTGCACGCCCAACACCAGCCGCGAGAAGTAGAGGGTCGCCGAATCGAGATTGGCTTGTGAACCGGCATACTCGAGAGGCCGAATAAGATTGGCGCCCGACGGAGAGAAGGCCACGCCAGCCAGAAGGGAAATCACTGCAGGCGGGTTAACGTTCAGGCCAGAACTTCACTTAAAATACCTTCCCGA